GCACGCTTGATCTCGGCCACTGGGATTCCACCGCGTCCCGCGAGGCTCAACTGAGCGGCTACATGTGCTTGTCCCGAGTTCGGAAAGCCGAAGACTTGTGTATAGCCCAACCCTTTTCCCCCAACTTGTTCACCAATGGGGAATTGATAGGCCCACACACTTTTCTAGAAGTTCATCGCGGCAAGCTCACGCCACAAGAAGCAAAAGCTCGATTTAGTCAAGACAAACCAAGCAAGAAAAGAAATCGTGACATCATGTTGTTTTGCCGCGGCTGCAGCCCACAGCCACATCGACAAGAGAAGTTACTGCCTCTGCGAGAATTTGTCACGGCATGGGACCAGGACGAATGGTACCAAGTCTTATCCGAAGGCATGTGTCGCCTATGTCTCCAATGCAAAGCTAAGCAGAGCGGAACACAACCACCCAGTCGCCCTGAAGCAATGCATCCTTGTCCATATTGCCCTGAAGCCAGACCGGCCAACAAAACTGGCTATTGTTCGGAGTGTGTCAAAACAGAACGTTTAGCCTGCAGCCGATGTGACCAAGGCAAGAAAATCAAAACGAAACGCTTGACAGACTTCGACCCGGAAGAAGTCAGACGCAAAAAAAAACTAAAGAACTACGACGCGTTCGCTGCAAAAAGTGTGCTACCACCCCTGTCGCAGCCACTTCCAAACAAGGTTTGTGCAGAGATTGCAATAAGACTGTGAGTGTGCCACATCTCAAACACTATACCGCAGAGTCGCAAACGGGAGTGTGCCGCACATGTGTCGCCAAGCAGGCGCGGGCATCAAAAACCTGCGCCAACTGTGGCCAGCCATTGAAGGCAAGTCAAACTCCAGTCACGTGGTGCAAACCCTGTGCATACCCTCCTTGCACGGGCGGATGTGGTAAGCCACGCCCTCAAGCAGGAAAAAGGCGGCTCCACGCCAAGAAACATCCAATTTGGCATTGTCCGGAATGCCAAGGCAAGAAAGGCCGCTGTGTTCAGTGTGAGAAAGTGGTTGCCGTTCCTAACCTTTCCAACTACACCGCCGATAACAACACGGGAACATGCAAAGAATGTGTCGCTAATCCTAAACTCTGTGGTAACTGTGCCAAACCCTTGCCTTCCAGTGCAACAGCCGGCGCGTGGTGTGCCGCATGTGCCTATCCCCCCTGTCAAGTGTGTGGTCGGCCACGACCAAGTGACAGTCGGTACCACGTCAAAGTTTTACCAAATTGGAGTTGCGCAGAGTGCAAAGTGAAGTCATGCAGCCAGTGTGGTCAGTCGCTCCAGTCCCAGGCCATAGCAGATACCTTGTGCATGCAATGCAGCTATCCGCCGTGTGCGACTTGTGGTGAGCCACGGCCACGTGAACGTCGCTACCATGTCAAAGTTTTACCGACTTGGAATTGCGCAAAGTGCAAAGTGAAGCCTTGCAGCCAGTGCGGTAACCCGCTAGAGTCCCAGGCCACAGCAGATACCTTGTGCGTGCAATGCAGCTATCCGCCGTGTGATACTTGTGGTCAACCACGACCACGTGAACGTCGCTACCACGTCAAAGTTTTACCAACTTGGACTTGCCCAGAGTGCACAGTGAAGCCATGCGCCCAGTGTGGTCAGTCGCTAGAGTCCCAGGCTATAGCAGATACTTTGTGCATGCAATGCAGCTATCCGCCATGTGATGCTTGTGGTCAGCCACCACCACGAAAAAGTGGCTACCATGTCAAAGTTCTACCAACTTGGATGTGTGCAAAGTGCCGCGACCAGAATCAGCGTGGCGTGCCAAGGAAGAGGCGTCGCAAAGTGTAGAAGCCTATGCCCAGAAAGCAGCGCGTGCAAGCTGTGACGTGCAACATACGCAGTCCACAGCAGATAGAAATTCCATGGTCAAAAGCCTCGTGCACAGAACCACCCTGGGCAGCACCATCTCACCCCCTACCCGAGAGCCAGCCGCCAAGTCCGCCAGAGCATCGCTCATGCCCGGCAAAACCATAGTCCGCCCACTTAATAAAAATTCCATTGTTAAAAACTTGGTGCACAGAACCACCCTAGGCAGCACCATTTTATCTCCTACCCGAAGGCCAGAGCATCACTCCTGCCCAGGAAAACCATAGTCCGCCCACTTAATAGAAATTCCATTCTCCATTCCATTCTCCAAAAGCTGATGCACAGAACCACCCTGGGCAACCCCCATTTCATCCTAGCCAGCGCATCGCGCAGGCGCTGCAGCTAAGTCCGCCGGAGCATCGCTCAAGTCCAGCAAAACCACAGTCCGCCCACTGTATAAAAATTCCATCGTTCAGAACTACCCTGGGCAGCACCATTTTATTTCCTACCCGAAGGCCAGAGCATCGCTCAATGCCCAGCAAAACCATAGTCCGCCCACTTAATAGAAATTCCATTGTCCATTAAAACCGGATGCACAGAACCACTCTGGGCAGCACCATTTCATCCGAGCCAGCGCATCGCGCAGCCGCTGCAGCCAAGTCCGCCAGAGCATCGCTCATGCCCCGCAAAACCATAGCCCGCCCGCCTAATAGAAATTCCATGGTTAAAGACACGGTGCACAGAACCACCCCGGCAGCGCCATTTCATCCCCTACCCGAGGGCCAACGCATCGCGCAGCCCCTGCAGCCAAGTTCGCAAGAGCATCACTCATGCCCGGCAAAAGCCTAATCCGCCCACTTCAGAGAAATTCCTGAGTCAAAAGCCCAGAAATGCGTTGTACGATAGCAGAGTTTCAACTGTGTGCTCCCGAACGGCCTCGGCCATGACTTCGTTTTCGTGGGCCTCTGGAGCCAAAGGTTCGGTTGGACCATCTGCCAGCGCATGACTTTGTCAGAGTCGCATTGCAAACTCCGAAGGAGAAGCGGTCGAAACAGAGCCAAAGAAGCGGTCGAACCTTCGACGCCGCGTGCACAGTTCCTTGGTTCGTATGCGCCTTCGCTCTAGCCTCCGCCAGAGCATCGCTCACGCGGTCAACGTCATGCGACAACCAGCCGTAGCAGTAAAAAAAAGACCGGTCAGCGAGCGCCGCAAGAGCGGTGAGACTGCAAGACACTGTGAAACTGTGAACGATGCGTGCAGAGTGCAATGTCCGCGAATTCGTTCTCGCCAGGTGCGCACCGTCTACATCTTCAGTCGGTGGGGGGCCGAACAACCCCTCCCTGTGCAAGACGGGGACCGGGACTTCGGGCGTCCCGGTAGCATCCTTCTCGAGAAGGGGGCTGACCGTCTCGGGAGCGTCCTTCTCGAGAAGGGGGCTGACCGCCCGGGCGTATACACGCCGAAGTCGGGAGAGCCGTCTTGCACATGTCCTGCCACCCCGTCTCTCTCTCTCTCTCTCCTATCTCCCTCCGCTCTCTCTCTCTGTCTCTGTCGGTCTCTGTCTCTGTAGTCTCTGCCTCTGTCTTCTCTGTAGTCACTGTCTCTGTCTTCGCTGTCTCTCTCTCTCTCTCTCTCTTTTTGAGACTGTGTGAGACCTATGTTGCCACATCTTGAGGCAGTCTGGGCCCAGTTGAGCCTATGTGAGGCCTGTTGCCACATCTTGAGGCAATCTGGGCCCGCCTAGGGGCCATGTTTCCCATATGTGAGACCTGGGTCGGGTCATCTTGCGGCTATGTATACCATAGGCTGGGACTAGGTGAGGTCCTCTTGAAGGCCTTTTTCAGATCATCTCGGAGCACATGTTCCGCCTTTGCTGTTGGCGGGTGCCCTACGCTCACGAAATGTCGATTAAGCTTGAGCAAAGTTAAGCTATCTGGTGCGCATCTTGGCCCTAGGTTGCGCCAAGTTGCGCCCACGTGGTCTATGTTGGGCACATCTTGGGCCCAAGTCGAGCCTATGTTGCGCCTAGGTCGGCCTATGTTAGGCCTATGTTGGCCTAGGTTGGGCCTATGTTCGGCCTATCTTGGCGTATGTTGGCCCCATGTTGGCCTATGTTGGCCCTATGTTGAGCCATCTTGGAGGCTATGTTGGGGATATGTTGGCTATCTTGGGCCTATGTTAGGGATATGTTAGGCAACTTCTGTGCCCAACACAAACGAAATGTCGATTAAGCCTGTCCGCGCGGCACGCATAACCGACACCACCGGCGCCCTGTTAGGCGCAAGTCGTCTCCGCCGAAGGCCACGAAACACTGTAAAAAACGATGTTTTCCACATCATGCACAACCATGGTGGTAGATAAAATATAAATGACATAAAAATCTGTCGACCGGATTCGGGCGGGGGTCGACACGGGGTCGACACGGGGTATACGCGAGGTCCAACAAAAGGGTCGGCGGCAGGGGGGCGCGAGCGTATATAACCTTCGGTTACCAACCGAAGGCCTCCGGCAAGGGAACGTGCGCGTGGCCGGCGCCCGGATTTAAGGGCTGCCGCCCCTGCCGCCGACCCCGGATTCTCAGGTCCGGCTTTTCCTCCACTGGTTGGCATTGCGAGGGTTTTTCGAACAGGGCTTTCAGTCGTCCTTTTAAAGGTTGCTCTTCTGGAATCGTCGTTTCTTTCCGGTGTCGAGGTCCGTGCCCGTGCGGAGCGTTTCATTGCCTGCTCTCTGGATTGTTTGCTAGCATTTTCCACCACTAACCAGCCTCCCAAAAAGCATCTGAAACCACCCCTTCGCCACGGCTTTAACCCATTGAGTTCTGCTCCAAACGATTGAGTTCTGGCGGATCTATCATTATTCCCTGGCGCGCTCCCCCTTGCGTCGGCCGGGGTCGGCGGATAAGTAAGTAAGTAAGGTAAAGTAAAGTAAAGTAAAGTAAGTAAGTAAGCAAGCAAGTAAGTAAGTTTTGGACATAAGTTGAAGCAAGACCTCATTATCATCTGCACTTGAAGTATTTTGGAGCATATATGAGTTCAATTTTCTTGAGAAGAAAACAACAAACGTCAAGGGGGTCGTGAAACGCCAGGTCAGGACGTCAGACGACGGATTCGCCATGCTTTTTCAGAGCCAGCATGGCGAATCCCACCACTCGGGGTATTTCCAAGAAAACGTTGTTGTTTCTGCCCAGGCGGAGATGGGACTCAAAAATTTCAGCGAGTGCATCGCTGATTGCAAGAAGGTCCTTCAGCTGGACCAGCAAAACCGGGATGCAAAGATCCTGTTAAGACAGGCCATTGCTGACCAAAAGGAAGCAGATAAGAAGTCCAAAGCGGTTTTTGCGAGCAACTTGGCGCGGATATTCTTTTGCGGGCCTCCTTGTGCGCATGATTTCCCTCCAGAATAGGAAACCGTTTTTGTGCTTGGCTGTTTGATGCTGTTTTTTGGTTTGGCAATTGTTCCGGTGCAAGGCATGTGCAAAGCCTTTGGGAAGGATTCGACCAATGATGTGGTCCCTGAGCAGCCAAGACCGCAGGAGAAGCAGATGATTCAAGAGAGAAGAAACTGCGATGATCAGCAAGTTTTGGTATGTGTATTGCAGGATTTTTGCCCCCTTGTTGCAAGACATTGGCAAAGAACAGAGAGAGAGAGAGAGAGAAGGAGAAAAGAGTCAAACTGTATATACTTAGTGGGGATGAAGGTAACGTAACCCTGGGAGCATCCCCTGGTTTCATATACTGTATGCAAATATCGTCAAATACATATGTACACAATACAATACACCGAAATTATAGCGTTCTAGATTAGATATTAGATATCCACCTTGGAGTGAGTGGGGCAGCCGGTTCGTTCAGCACCTTCCAGCTTAGGTGCCGCAAAGCAGGGCATCCTCTCGACAGTGATTCAAGGCGTCTCTCGTGCCATGTTCTTTTTCCCGAACTTGGACTCTTGCCTGATAAAGTACCGCTCTTTCCTGTACAGTGTGGGGTATTGAAAGAAGGGTACGGAAGCCTGACAACCAGATGAGAATCCACATGATCGGTCATCCGGAGGCCAGCGATACTTCCGAGCGACCCACACGACATTTCCGGGAAATTGGGCTCACTCTGTGTAAGGTAATTTTCCTATAGCCTTTCTGACATGTTTTAGATATATATCTCGCAAAGACTTGGATCTAATCCCTATAATCTAATCTCGAGACAGCTCCCCGCCTGTTCAGCCTCCTCTGTATAGTGCCAAAACAATCACCACAGCAACCCGAGTGGATGAGCTACAATAAGAAGGGAGAGCAAGCTTGGAGAGATGTGGGAAGTCAAAACCACAGAATCCAAGACTGCAGACACTTGTAGGATGGGATAGTGGATCTGCAGACTGCAGGTTGCAGGTTGGGGTAGAAGATCTGGATGGGTGTCCAATCGGCGATACATGCACATACTAGTCTTAGAGACTTAGAGAGCCTGGGCTGATGCCTCAAGAGGGGTCCTTATGGTTTGATCAGAGGACTTTCATGCCCATTTTTGACTCTCACTTTTCTCATTTTGCTCTGGGTGTTTCATATCGGAGGGATGGTGAGAGCCAAAAGGCCCGGGCAGGTTCTAGAAGGAATTCCGGAGGTTCCCGGAGCTCCTCCCTTGGTTTTGCCATGTTCATTCTCCCTCTCCCCACTTGATCCAATGTCCTGAGGTCTTCTCGAACTTCAGCTATTTCTTCGGATATGTCTGGCAGAGATTGAGCGGGAAATCCACGAATGGGCCCAAGACCTGAGAGGTTGGTTGGCAAGTATGAGTGACCGTTGTAAGACCATGTAAGACCTTTGAGCCATCCTTGACACGGGAGGTGTATATATATATATATATTTGTGCATTTATACAAACACACATTTTTAGTCCTTGCTGTAAGATGTTGCAAGCACAATATCTGCCGAGCAGTTGATGGCCAACCTCCGGCAAGATGCTGGTGGCAGAATCACTTGTTTTGCCGGCAATGGCCCTGCTGATGACTTGCTCCTTCGAGCGAAGGGTTTTGGTGCGTTTGCTTGTCCACGGGTGTGCCCACCCGTGGCAAGGTGCCACTTTTCCAGAGAACTCCGCACAGTACAAGACGTCACCCTAGGATACTTCAAGTTGAGCAAAGACTGAAGACATCATGAAACTGGCCCATTTTCAAAGAGGCATTTTCTACACTTGGAGTGTTGGAGGGTGTGTAATCTTGACTGTGTGATGGTTTTAGGCTGGAATGCTGCAGTTGTACAGAGCAGGAAGGTCCTTCCACGGTGGATTTCTTCCCCGATCACCCCATACAATGCGTCGCATTTGAAGGGTCATTGGGTGCACATCAGAAACGGATAGAAACGGCCTAACTCCTCGTGGAAGATCGGCTGGTGAACCGCTTGGGGTGCACGCGATCCCCACCGCTTCGCCCACATGTGTTTGCGGGACCCGATGCTTGCATCATCCATGGGAGAAGCTCCGAAGACAGTACCCCCTTTGAAAAGCCTTGGCCTCACCATATGGAAGACAATGGCCTTTTGGGAAGCCGATCTTTCCGACTTGGAGTGTATGATATATGCATACCATATGCCTAAATGTTGACCATGTCAAATCATACTCCACTTGGAGCTTTGCTGCATCACTTCCTGCTGCACCCTTGTAGCGAAAAACCTGAGCAGAAGACATGATCGAGGCAGAAAAGCAAGCGGAGTCTCTGAGAGGCGGATGAGCATTTGAAGGCCACACACACATATATAATATACATATATGTATATATATATTTATAATATAATATAATGTAATATAATATAATACAATACAATATACTTTATAATAATATAGTATAATATAATATAATAGAGAGAGAGAGAGAGACGGATAGAGACAGAGAGAGAGAGAGAGAGATAGAGAGAGAGAGAGAGATAGAGAGAGAGAGAGATAGAGAGAGAGAGAGAACAAGAAAAACAACCAAAGGATTCCACATCCGGATCATATAGACAGACTTCGGAGACGAGCTTGATAGCTCAAAAAGGCTTTTTGACTGGGGGCAGGGTCCTATAATCTCCCTTAAAACACCATTAGGATGCGTACAGCCACAGTATCGTCCTTTCGGTCAGATGCTCCACGCCGGGACATGTTCGTTGGAATATTTGGGGTCGACCATTTGAATTCTCTTTTGCTGTACTTGGGATCCTTTCTTGGGAGGGTCTAGTGCAGCCCAAGGCTGGTTTGACCCACGAGCAAGCACTGAAGCAGCTGCCCTGACACTGAACAGTGAGAAAGTTCTTTTTTGGTAAACGGTCACCCGCAGCCAAGCACAAATTTCTGGTTGGTCCTTCTTGCAACTCAGCGTGGTTGTTCAACCAAAACCGCACAAGGAACAGCAATAACATGTCCCCGATATTTGTTTTGGTTGACCAATGATTTGACGGGATCATTCCCTCCTTCCCCTAGACACATGGTCCCAGCGGCTCGCATCCCTCACCATGACCTGAGGCTGGAAATCAAGCAGTCGGAACTCTCAATGGGCGCCAGCATGCATTCCAGCGAGGCACAGGTTAAGTGGGTTGGTCGAGTTGTTGTGGTATTGGCCAAAGCTATTCAAAGGGGGCATAAACTCTGGAAAGGAGAGGTGTGAGTTCTGGCAAACGTCGATCTTCAGTCGGTGAATGTGTACGGTGATGGAATGAATAGCTTTTGCTCCTCAGTGGCAGGATGCTGGTTTCGGCTCACAGTGTAGATGCAGAAATATGCAGATTTGAAACGCCCGGTCGACCGGTTGCTCGGACTTTGTTCGCCGATTGCACACCGCCGTTTGCATGGCAATGGTTCAAGTCTGGAAACGATCATAATGACCCAGGTTAACTTGGTCAAAAGCTACATTTACATGGCTAGAACTTGATCTTCAGGATATGTTCGGATATGTTGATATCAGACCCCTGCTAGAATGCAGCAGCAGTCATGATCCAGTCAGGTCAAGTACAGTGTCGGGCAAAGAGCCCTTCAGTGAGTGCATCAGTGTATCAATGACAGTGCGCAGGCCAATGAATGACACAATCAAGTGAATACCAAAATTCATCCAAATTCCCTCTATACTTGAGAGACCTACAAAAACACGGGAGAAAGTTGCCCCACGTACCCTACCCAGTCAGTGGATAGGCTTTACCATGCTTTACCCTTTTTTGAGGATTGGTTTCTGCACTAAACAGTATAACCCTTCTTTTTCCAGCGAAAGGGCTTGGGGGTCAGTCCAATTATTAGGACATAATCCATTTCCTCCATCGCTCAATTCTTCGTTCGAGTCTCCAGGCTTCCCCGGAGATGCGACACATCCGGGTGCGGTCCCCCAAAACGAGGACGTCAGGAGGGCCGGGAGCATTCATACCTTGAAAGAGGAAACCGGTCGCGGCCTCAGGGAGTGCCCTAAGCACTTGCAAGGTTATTCAGACGTGATCCATACAGTTTGTGCAAACTTAGTTGTGCCTCTCTCCAACACTCACATTGGGTTTTGGTGGAAAAAGGCCCACCAAGTGGTTAAGAGGAGCGTTCAGTCTTCCAAGGAGCAACTGTCCATGTCCATTTTGTTGGATAGAGTGCGCACTGCACAACAAGGTGCAGTTTGCGCAGTGAAATTTTTGACGCCTTAGGGGAGTGTCTATGTTGTGGTTGTGAAGGTGATGATATCAATCACACAAAGCACTTCTGTGGCTTCGGAAGAACCTGTCTGAGAACTTGGGAATGTGGGTGTGAAAAGGAACCTGTTTAAACCTTTGAACTAAGACCCGCAAGACCTTTAAGTCATGGGTAAGTCTTGGCCGCTCAATCTGTCAAACACGATGATGCCGATGAGGTCTTGGAAAACCGACTTGACAAGACGATGATCAAGTACAATGAGGCCATGGGACCATTGGGTTGCAAGGTTGAGTGGATTCCTTGGTTTTCAGTGGATGCATGGAGCAGTTAGCCTTCCGTGTGGTTTGTTTTTGCGAGCATCCTCAACAGTTTAGTTTGTTTGGCTGCCAAGTGTGTGTGTGTGTGCGCGTTGTTTTGGTTCGCAAGCATTCGCAAGTGATAAGAGTTGCCGAGCACTGTGGGAGCTGTTTATTTTCCATCTCAGGCAACTGTTTAGGATTCGTTCCAAGAGCTACGTCAGCCACCTTTTGCAGGCCCAAAGCATTCGCAAGACCTACGAGGCTGGTGTGCATTCGCATTCGATGGTTTTCCGTGGGAGGTGAAGGGACAGATCAAGTGGGTGACGAGTGAAGGACTCACGGATCAGAACCAGGCTGAAGTGCAAATTGCGAGCTTAATCCCGAGAAAAAACTGCTGACTTCAGAGCATTTTGAGTTTCATGGTTAAGTCCTTATCCTGAACATTCCTCAAAAAATACAAATTATTTTTCCATGGAGCTTGATAACCAGCACAAGAAGCGTCGATCCCGAAGTGGGAACACTTGGCCCGACGGTCACGCCTTCATGGCCCGCGGAGCAGAGGAGATGACGGACACGCCTTGACCATTCGGTGTGGCGGCAATTCCTGTACCTTACCATTCGGTAGCCTTTTTGGAACAACAGGGGCCACTAGAAATGTGCATCCGCAGATGTCAACAGATGCGGAGAGGGCCCAAGCATCATTACATCACCATTACATCCACCACTCCCCTGAAACACCTTGGCCCTGGACATCCAACTCCTTGGACATCCAACACTGCAAATCCATGCGACGAACACTGCCCCTGGACGTCCGCCTTGGGACGGCGGCAGAACAGGCCATTGTGAAGCGCCTCAAGGAAGAGCGAATGGGCTTTGACAACCAGCTGGCCGGAATCGAAAGGACCCTCAAGGCGAACGTGGGAACATGGGACTCTCAAGGCCTGATTCCTGTCCTTGAAAGCTGAGCCTGGGGATTTCTTGGGCACATGATCGGCACTTGGGAGGCTTCAAGGCTTCCTTCTAGGCGTTTGACTCAAGCTGTGATATTATCGAATTCATATGTTGAAGAAATGTGGAATGTCCCCGTCATAGTGGGGCCCACAAGGTAAACTTTGGTTGTTTGGTATTCCGCGAAGTCTGAGTTGCCGGACGTGTCCATCTACAGAACCGCTCAATAGTTAGTATAGGCAAGAAGCAGATCCCAAATCAGTGCAAAAGAAAGACTGGGCCTTTGGATTGCTTCTGACCTTTTGGATCTAAGAGGGAAGACCTTGAGGGCCACTGGCTTCTGATATTTTCTAATCATACACTGCGGGAGGGCCACTCATGCATCGCTTGGCTTGGTGGCGCAGGCCAAGGAGCGAGACTACGAGGAACTCCTGTTGCTGTCCCACGATGCGTACCATGCTAAGGTGCGCTGACAGGAATGAACACATATTCACCGAGTTTCAATGCAACAGCTTGGGTTCCTTATATATATGTATATATATATAGTGACCCCCTTGCATGCAAAGGCTGCTGCATGTTCTCAGGGATACGAGAGCGAGAGAGAGAGAGAGAGAGAACAAAAAATCAAAGCAAAGCAAACAAACACGCGAGAAAGCACAACGGCCCTCATAAATGTACCGAAAGTGGATTTCGTCTCTACTTTCTGGGTGGTGCCACAAAGAAGGCTTAGTCTAACAGTCTAACATATATTCACCAGTTGTCCGGTACGCCTGGCACGCTCCAGGAGATGGCACAGGCAGAGTGCGAAGCTCAGAGATCTGAGATGGACCCAATCAGAGATGGACAGACGGAAGACGATTACAAAGTGGATTCAATGTTGGAAGCGGTGGGTGGGGCATTCTGGAGTTGCGGACGCCAGGAGTCACCATGACGGTAGCCCACAAGCATAGGTTGTATAGGTCAGAATGATGAACTCCAGTCCATTGGAAACAAGTCAATAAAGACCACACAACGCCCTCAAGCACAGCCATTCGTGCTATTTAATGCTTGTGTCACAAGCAACTGCAGAAAGTGGCAGATGCACCATGCCTAACATAGACACTTGATCGTACTTGGTCGCCCGGCCGTCCAAATTGAATGAGGTTGCATCGCTTTGAGCAGGGCGTGATGGAGGAGAGGAATCAACGCGACAAGGAGGTTCAGGAGAAGAAGGCCTGAAGTTTCTGTTTTTGATTTCTCCGTTGCACCCATCAGAAGGGCTGATAGCAAGATCCCGGAGGGAATGTAAGGAGGTGAAGAAGTCTTTGGGCAGATTTCAAGACTTGCGATGATTTATTAATACATCAACTATTTAGATGGAAAGGCATCGGTCAAGCAGCATGTATGTATTACAATTATTGAACTTCATGTTTACATGATAAATAGGATAGCAAAGTTCAGCCCTTTTCAAATATAACGTCGGATGATTTCCATGGACTTCTCCCTTTGGTTCCCCGCTGGTGTGAAACGTCCAGAAGTAACGGATGCGTCAGATGTCTCGAGGCCTTAGTGGAGCAGCGCGTGGAGATGAACAAGCGTTGGGAGAACCCAGCTGTGTTCCAGTAACCATGCAAAACAGAAAACATGCAACTTCGAACAGTCGGTCGATCGCTTGCATTGCTCAGAGTACACTATGACGGTTACGTGGATGGCATGGCCCCGTACGGATGACCATTCTACAAACAGGCGACTCGATCCCTGTACTGCGCTGATCAAGGCTGACCCAATGATTTGCTATACTGTATGACCTGCGAAGGGGATTGAAGGGGTTGCAAGATGTGACAAGAATGGTATCGGTTTTTATCCGGCTTATATACAAAAAGTAATATAATGTATATGTATACCCTATATATACCCTAGCTAGGCTTCCAACAACCATTGCTTTTAATGGTCTTTACCGAACCACCATTGTTGTACTAAGGATTTTACACTACGCAACAAGGTCAACCTTTGATTGAATGGTCTTGGAAGCCTAGGGTATATATAGTCATATATATATATAGGTTGGTGCATGTAGGAAACCAGTCGCGTGTTTTGCCCAGATGTATGGGACGCCGCTTTTGGCGCACGTAGCTCAGATATACATGTCGCTTAGATATGGCGCTCTTCCTCCAGTGCTGCGGTTTTGGGTGTCGGAAACGGTTCAACCCAAAGATGGGGAACCCCAGAAGGTACGACTTCACCCGTTGCACGACTTCACCCGTTCGGACCATTGTGAGAACTTGAAAAGCCATCAAACAATTGCAATAAACATGTGGATGTGCATTTGTACATTTTGCTGGTTCAGGTGTATAGATGATGATCAACTAAAAGTCATACATTCAAGGTTGTCAACCAAGCAGAGCTAGCTAACCCTTTTCCAATGTTGGAGATTTACATTCTGCGACACATTTTGCCAACACTTATGATGGAACATCCTGAAAACACTTGATACAAGGGCATCCCTGTCCGGGATGCCAACCAGTCCTCTTTTTGGCACCTTTGCCAAGAGAGGTGCCAATTGATGCCAACCGTCAAGCGCGAAGCGTCAAACACGGTCCTGGTCATGCAGACTACGCCACCGCCGCAAGGTTTGGAGATGCGGGAGCGGATCCAGAAGCAACAGCAGCAGCAGGACCATCGGCTCCGGCCACAGCGGAGCGGGTTGCGAGCGGAGCCGGTGACACCGTGACCTGGAGAAGCGGTGGGAAGGAGTCTCGAAGTGCCCGAGTTCCTTGATCAAGGCTTTTTCAAAGCTGCTGGCCGCCCTCCGGTATCCATAGACTTCAAACTCTCATTGGCAGCCAGACAGATACAGAAAGTTTCAAGAAATGTTATTTTCCAGATTCTTCAACGGCAGGCGCAACATTCATGTGTTTTATGGCTACATGGGATGTAGGCTTAGATTATATTCGACGACTTTAATATAGAGGTTTGTCTCATGGGATCTACTCCAAAACCATTAGCCACACATCGAAAACAAGAAGGAATCACTTCCAAAAGCTCCCAGTGGATCATTACAAGACTGGAGGAATCTGGAGGACCTCACCACCAGCAGCATCCCCTCCACTCACCTCAGCCATCACGCCAGGAAGTGGACCAGGCCCAGAGGAGTCAGGGTCGAGAGCTTCCGGCAGCTGACACCTCAGGCGCCCAAGTGGCTTCGACCGATCCAGCGGTGCGGGAGTGGCGGGAGACGGACGAGGGGAAGAAACCGGGAGACGAAGCAGCTGCCAAGGGCTGCCAAGGGCTGCCAAGGTGGGAGATGTAGTGAGCAACCTTGTTCTTCCAGTGATTGGCGGGCTGTTTCGGGCTATGCCAAGGCATGCATTAAACGGTGTAAGAAAAAATGTTCCTGGACACGTTTCATGGCCAGGGTATCTTGGATGAAAAAGACCAAAAACTGAACATGGCATTCTGTCACCCGAGGTCATAGACAATATGACATGACCTACCCTATCCTACCCACACTCAAATCATCCAAGAGGATTTCCCAAACATCACATCCCACATTGTGTTCTCTTCCAGTGGAATGTCATGTTGTCCTAGCCTCTTCTGGCTTTATACTGTGTCATTTAGTCTCCTTTTAGGAGATCCCTGTTCAGCAGCTGTTTTCTTTCGTTCTTTCTTTTTTTTGTTCCTTTTTTACAAGGTCCATTCTATTTGGGCCGTGCCCTCATGCAGTTGGATTGCGTTCGGAAACTCACTCTGTTTGGTTAGAACGGCCTTTACTTCAGAGGACACTGGCAATTCACATGGCTGAGAATCATACATGTTGAGTGAGCAGACATACACAATCACATTGGGTGTTTTCAAGAAGGTCTTCAAAGGCATGCACACACACACACACCGCATCAACAATGTTCTTTCCGCAGAAACAATCTTGTTGTATACACATTTTAAATCTCTTAGATTAAGGGAAGAACTTTCCGAACACTAAAAAAGAACTCTCAACATGTTTGTAAAAAGTTTACAATGTTCTAAAGAACTTGTCAACATGTATGTCCAAACACTGGCCTAACACTAAGTATAAAGCTACAAGTGTCCTTTTGCATTTATAAAAGACAGCCGTTTGTCGCCCGAACACTGACCGAACACTAACATGTTTTGTAAACTTCTTTCCTTGTTTGAGCATTGCAATTTGGAGAAGAAGTTGTAAAAGAAACTTGCAACAAAAAAAACGTTGTTGAAAGAAGTTGAACGTTTCCTAAAAGAAGTTGAAAGTTGCCAAAACAAAGTTATGAAATAAAGTTGCTATGGCTGTGTTACGTATGGGCTTGTTCCAGGTACAACCATCGCAGACCTTTGAAAACACTCAACAATCACATTATAAACTATTTACACATACCCGCGCATGTGTGTGTGTGTGTGTGTGTGCGCGTGTCCATTTCAAGGACAGTGCCGGGGACTTCCAGACACGTTGGACCAGAAGTTTCGCTTCAGACCAACATGGGCTTCCAGACGACTAATTAACATCAGCATCAGGACCTGATGAATTTGGAGGTCTTTCCAACGAAGAACAATGTGTCTCCTGGAGAATCACCAGACGAACTCATGAACCGTGCATGACGCATGTGCATTCACAAGATGGAGGTTTGGGGCTTCGGGCGGCTTCGGGACACCGGTACGGTTTTGGAGGGCTACCGCAAATCCTTCCTTGCCTCATGGGTAGGCGCCGTTCCAGCGGATGTGGGAGAAGATGATCAGAAGATCCAACTCTTCATCCATGCCTTCAATCAGATCAAGGAGGCCGGAGGGATCTGATCAAGCCAAACCATACAGGCCTGGTCCTGGAAATCTCCTTGAGTAGTGGAGCTTGATGTGACAAGCTCCAGTAAAATGATGTCCAACTGACCAGTCGGGAAACGGAAAAGGAGGAGTTCAGGAAAGTCATGGCACATCACAGCAAAACCATGGCACATCCACGCTGACAGAAGTCTTTTGGAGAGGTGCTGGAGGGTGTTTATCTCTATTCAATTTGATATGTTTTTGAAGACTGTTGCACTCAAAGTTGTGGTTTCATGGATCATGAATGCATCTTGTTTAGGGTGATAAACAGCAGCATCCTTACCTTATATAGATCTTATATAGATATCACGCAACAGCACTGCGTGTTTGTTCAATTCATTTATCCCATTGACCTCAAAGAGCATACAGTAACAAGTTTCTATCAGGCATACCTAACACACACAGTTAGAACATACAGTCATCTGGAAATGATTCACTTCGTTCTGCATCTCTTTGCCTTTGTCTCCACAGCTGTGATGAGGCCAGTGGTGTCAATGATCCCAACGAGATCATCCAAAAGTTCCTCACGCAGGACGACACTCAAAAGAACCTCACCCAGCTCACCAAGGACCGGAGGGCCTTTACTCGCGAGCCCCCTCTCTTTCACCGGAGAGGAGTAGCGGCAACGGACAGGTTCTTTGTGGTACAAAAACTTTGAAGAGTGTTCAGAAGAGTCGAACGTTTTTCGCTCGACATTTGCCCTGAAAAGCTGCCGTTTTCGTTCACAAGAGGGTGTGGAGGAACATCGCCCTTCCATGGGGTCCAAGCTTCAGATGAATTTTCGTTTGTTTCAACTTTAGCTGCAGACCCTTCATCAGACCGACCACGGAGGCCGTAAGCCAACATGCTTCACATCTAAGCATAATGGTGTTGATTGGTGATACATGATGTTGTTGCTTTCGCTTTGGTTGTTGGGTCTGCCTTGGATTGCTTGTTTGGGACATTGTACTTCGTGTTCTCGCAACATATGGACTTGGTCAAAGCGGGCCCATGGGAGCTGAGCTTCCATGCTTGTATCTAGGAATGGCAGATCCCTCATGGCCCAGTCCGCCAGTCCGCTGGTGTTGAGGACAACCATGCTCTCATTGAGAAGCTCCAAGACGAGCGACGACGTTTGAGGTCTCAAGTGGAGGAGCGAACGCAGCTAAGCCACACGGAAACTCTATGGAACTCTCGTGGTACCGTCAAACAACAGGTGCTTTTTCATTCTTATAATTCGAATGATAAGTCTAGTTGGACCTCCAAACTTGGATATATATATATATATACATATAGAGGGCTTCCGTCGACGAGATCCTTATCTTGATGTTGGTCTCCTTGCGAGATGGTCGCACTGGGAAATGCCCTCAAGAAAATAAAGGGTATGTGTGGAAAACATGTGGCTTTACCCATGCCATCGGGATAACCATGTCACCCGGACCTATGTCATGAATGAACATTTGTCACGAAAGCGAGCTCAGAAGGAGCTCAGCGGAAGTTGTTGTTTACGAAATATAGTGAGGCTCAAAATTGAAAGGTTCAGTGAACTAATTGATTCTTTCAATTAAGGGGAGGGGTCAGCTGAGGGGGGGCCCCCCCCTCCCCTCCCTTTTTATATACCCGTTGAAATTTCCTTTAAAAAATCAACCTCCCTGGGTAACAAAAAGAGCTTCGATATTGTAAAGAAAAAAGTTTGCTTCCAGGTACCCGTTTTTGTGGGGGTGGGGAGGTTGATTTTGTAAGGGCAGCATTCTTTCTTGGGGCTGTTGATTTTGTAAGGAATCGATATGTTGGTATGGATGTCAAAAGTGCCGCACTGGTGAGGGTGGGGTCCTTGATTCTATGCAAGTTTGAGGGGGGGTGGTTGTCATGGACAGTCGATTCTGTAATCGATTGACCTGCTGTAAAGCATGGACAGTTGATTTTGTAGTGGGTTGAGCTGCTGTAGAACATGGCCTTATAAATTCCCAATAATTCGCATAATTTTTCTTGATATATCATAGGTAGGATATATTAGAACACACACACACACACACGCACACCAGGCATCCCAAGAGCCTCGTTGAGTCTCGCTGCTGAGTTGATGTTTAATGAAAGTGTTCTCTTTGAGCCCAGTCTATCCCACACTTCAACGCCTTCTGCTGGAAGATCCTCTTTCTTCTTTGCCTTCTTTGGTGGAGGAGTATCCACACCTGCCGCAATTAAACATCTAGTGAGGGCTTCTGAAGGCACTTGTTTCTAGGTTAAACAGGTTTTTCTACTGTATCGAACCAGTCTGATAAACTCTGTCAAAAAGTCTCCCAACAGACCCATTGAAACCCACGCTTCACTTGCCTTCTGCTTGAAGACTCTTCGCCTTCCGCGCCTTCTTGGATGCTGGAGTTCCCGCACCTGCCGCAATTAAATGTCTATAGATGTCTAGTCAGGGCTTCTGGGGGTACTGGTTTCCAGGTGGACACATGAAGGATCATGAAGGTAAAAGTACCAAGGAAGATGTGAAACCTCAAAGTCCTAAATCTTCAACAACTCCCAACGCAACCCTGGAACCCCCACACTCCAATGCCTTCTACTAGAGGCTCATGCTTCACCTTCGTTGTCGCAGAAATTTCCCCACCTGTCACAAGTGAGCCGGGAGAGAGGGCTTTTGAAAGCCTTCTATCTAGGTGGATATCTACAAGCGCCGTACTTAAGTCAACCCACGTCGCGTGAAGTCAACTCACTGCATGGGCACAAGGTTTCAGCGAGAAGTCAACATCAACCAAGGGACCTGTGAACATCAACCAAGGGACCTGTGAACCTGTGAACCTGTAGCGATAAGTAAACCGAGGCTGAGATTCTTGATTCTGTATAAGTGCCTCTGGATGCTCTCTTGGTGCCTCTGATTTTGTAAAACTGTTTCCTAGTGATAGACATTGGGATGCTTGATTTTGTAATCAACTGTTTGGCGCATTGGTCCGTGCTACTGTCTGATCGTGTCGTATCGTCTCGATGAGGTCGCGCCGAATCATTACAAAATCGGTTGTTTTTTCCAATCCAGGTTTAATGATTGAGATTCTGTATCTTGTTTGAGGCCTCGGGGTGGTTGATTTTGTAATTGTACTGGGCCATGTCGACAGAGTGCCTATGATTTTGTAAAGACTGTATCTTGAGACTGGGGCAGTTGTTTGTAATATCGGCTTGAGAGTTGTCCCTTGCCTGCGTCCTGGGGGGTTTGATTTTGTAAAGCTTTTCAGATTGGCAAACCTGGGGTGGTTGATTCTGTGGGCACTTTCCTTAAAAAATCAACCACCCCTACATACAGCAGGAATTCGAGGGGGTATCTTTTTATTGATTCTTTCAATAACCTCCTTCCCCCTCGCAAAGGAATTGATATTTCAATTGCAGATTGAAACGTCTAAGGGGGGGGTGGGCCCCCCCCCTCGTCCTTGTGAGAAAGCATGCCAAATGCCTAGAAAAGACAATATGAAAGTCGATGTTCTTTTTTAGTGTTCGGTTGACTCAGCCAACAACACATTGCGCTCGTGGCACAAAAGCGTTGCGTTGCTGCCCTCCCTCCGCGTCCTTGATCCTTCCACACCCCTCGCTTTCGTCCCCACTGTCCTCAAGTTTTAGGCACACCTTCGACTTGCCAGAGTCATTTGTACCCAGTACAATGAAATTCCGGGGATTTTTTTCCCTTTGAGTGTTTTGCACTCGCCAAGAACAAGATGTATAAAGACAGACAGAGAGAGGACACAACAAAACGGGACAAGCCCTTTGTGCGAGGGTTCGAAAAGTCGCCGTGTGATCGATCTAAAGTTTAATCTAAAGGCTATAGAGAGAGAGAGAGAAAAAAAAAAAAAAACACAACAGAACACAATGGCTGAAACATGTTGTGGTGTATTTGTTCCTCTTGGTGTTCTTGGAAAACAACGACCATTTACGGACACATGATGGTTCCTTATTATGTATTTGCACTTCATTCCTCAAGAATGACATCCTCGGCCTCGGAACTGGTATTGTGCGAATTCGTCGTGGACTGACACTGACGAACTGGTGAGGAGCTCAAGTTCTCCAATGGCGGTGGTGGAGGCCGACGTCAGGCGTGACCGAATAAACCAACGTGACACCAAACGCAGACACGACGCACAGTGGAGGAGGGGACCCGAATCGACCTGAACTGAGTCATGGTGCGAAGACCTCCCAACTTCATAACCCAGACACGACCTGTTTGGGACTGGAAATGTTCAGCCTACCCCCAACCCAACAGATCGGGAATCATTTGGCAGTCCCATGGAGTGTTTGGGTAATGCTCAGGTGATGTGTCTTGGATTGTTTGGCTCGTCCGAGTCTCTGCTCCGTCCGAGTCTTTGGTCTTGGCATCCGTCCGGTCCTAGCAGTCCCAAACCAGCCGAAACACCCACCGTATCACGCACCTTCGTAACCCCCGCGTACTCGATTCTGTTTGGATCACTGGCTGCATTTAGCCACTTTGAGCGCTTTTAAAGTTTTTTGTTTGACTGCCTGTGGCTGTCGGGGACAGCAGTGAAACCCCCCTTGGCCGGGCCGAGGCCATCGATGACTTTGAGAGCCACTTGGGCGAAGCGACCGAAAAGTGCGAGCGCAATCGCGGCAAGTACGAGCGCTTGGCACGGACGCTTGGCCACGTTGGCACGGGAGAGCGGTCCAGAAAGGCGCAGTCTTCTAGGGGAGCCGAGAAATCGAGCTTCGAAAAACATGATACATTAATTTCTAATGTTGGTTCTGCAGCGTTTTTGTAGTTATCTACTATCCTCATATGTGACGCAAGTCCTTTGGGGGGCAGGGCTCAGCATTTTACACAGAGCCACTCAAAACCAGTTCAGAAGATTGGTGATAGCGTTTACGTGGAGAATTGGACTTTCTGAAGACAACACCAACTCTGGATGTATTCATGCCTTATTCTATGATATTCTATGCAACTATTTGCGACTGTTTAATTGTGCGGAACTTCGTGCTTGGGTTTCATTCCACCAAACTTGGTGGTTGGTTTTTGCGGCGATTAATGACTTCCATTCGCAGCCAAGGATGCTTATCGATGTCAAGGCCGTGTGATGGTGGTCAGGGATGTGCTGTTTCCACGTATTCCTTTGTTGCTTTGGTTTGGTCACATAACGCACCACAAGGTGTACATACCCGCCCGGCAGAAGCAAACTCGAGCAAGCCAAGCAAACTAGCCCCTGGCTCTTCTTACACGTGCATCCTGATTTCACTCTTGAGCAGGCATTTGGGGGGTTCAGTCAACAACTTGGGCTCTTTTAGGGAGAGATGATGATTCATTGTCAGGTGTTCTCCCTCCCCTCAGCATCCCTCAGCCACCTCACACAACACGCAATTCCTGAATCGGCTGCAGGCGGGCATTAGTCACCTCGCCGAGCTACTCTGCCGGATGTGGGACGGAGTGGTGGACGGGGTAGTGGACGGGGGTTGGTTGTGGTGGTCTCTGTGTTACTGACGTGTGCTTAAGCAAGGAATAAGGGAATGAATCCTGACCCATCTATGTCTCTATGGTAAGGGGTCATTTCCGCATTCCCTACTAAGCACTAAGCACCAGTAAAGGTAATTAAAGGTCAAAGACCACATATTGCCTATTGCTGCATATTGCTTGCTACATCTTGCTATTGCATATGTGTGAGGGGGCTGAATGTTCTTCTTGGAAGGTTACATTTCACCAGCCTGTGACAAGTTGTGGCAAGTTTACAGTATTTGTTGCTGTAGATCCGCACGTGATGGAGAAGACGGACAGATAAGCTTCGGACGGGTGGCGACCGGACGAGCACAGAGGACATTGGACAGAACGGGACTGGTTAAGGCCTTGAACGGACCATTTTTCGGATCATGAGGGCCTCATGACAATGGTTTTCCCAATCATTGTTGCTTGTGAAGATTTGCTTGTGAAGATCTGTGAAGATTGGGAAATGGCCTCTCACACATTTGCTTGTGAAGATTTGCTTGTTGATCCAAGTAGCGATGGAAAGGATTGAGATTGTCCTCAGGTTTGATATGGCAAATGCCGGCAAATGCTGCAACTATCAACAGGTAAAGGAGGGTGTTTTCCCCGGGTGTTTTTGTTTCGCTTTTTGGGCTAAATAAACTTTGAACTTGCACCCTTTTGGAGCAAGGGCATCCTCTTGACAGCAAGTGACTCTTTTGCAGCAAGGCTACCATGACTGGCCTTCCCACCAACAAAGACTCTTGTTATTATACAATTGTAAGGATCCCTGGAGATTTGTAGTTCTTGATGTTTTGTTGGCTCTTTGCCGCATTGAACTCTGATTTAGCCACCGTACATGGACCAAATGTCGGGGACACAGGCTCCCATGCTTTGTGCAAAGGCCGCGTTGCGCGAGCTTTTTACCACTGGCAGCGACAGACCAAGGTTACTAGTCCCCATCAAGTTGGAGGGTGAAGCACCTTTGCCGTTGCTTGAAATGCATGAGCGAGGTTATCAAGTTTGTGTGTTGATCAGTCATTTGGACTACTATCGCTATTGGATCAATTCAGGTATGAGGCCTTTTTTTGAATATGTTTGAATCAATGCTCATTCCTACCCACTGTATTTGCTTGTAGGGTCTAAATCTTGCGGGTAGATGTCAAAACAGTTCAAAACCCGCGGTGCGTTTCAGATTCTGCATGCAATCCTTCAGTATTTGTGAGAGATCCCAGTCCGCGCGAGGCGCAAAGACTCCTGGACTGAGACAAACGCTGCGGTATGTGCAAATGTCTTGATGTTGCAGGTGCTTGACTCACGTCATGTGGTCCAGATGGTGCAGGACTGGATGTCCTTCGGTTTTTTGCATGGCCGACCCTCAGGTTAGAGATGACCGATGAAACAGTGGAGGAAGTGCTCCAGGAGAGCGAGAAGAAGATCTCGAAGCTTCTGAGTGATTCGGCCAATAGCAGCTGTCCTGCCAACGCAGCGACGTCCAATAGCAGGAAGTGACAGTAGTGAAACAAAATATTAACAAACGTCATCGTGATGAAGAATCCGCTGCCAGTATTCCTGCCTCTTGAGGCAATTGAAAAAAATCAGTGAATTTTCCGGTCTGCTATCTTTCAGAGGATTCAACGGTGATTCCAACTGTCTCCCCAGTCTGTCTCCCCAACTCGGAGCTCCACCGTCGAACCGAGCTCCAACCCTCCAACTGCGGCCGCTGCGGGTGCCGAGGCTTGACGGCCAAATTCGAGGAGATCCCGTCGATCGGACCGGTCGGATCGGCCGGGCGCGGGCGCTTCTGCCACACGACACGTGACACGTTCTGCCTCTCTGGAGTTCAACTGAAGAGTGGGACCGGGAAGCAAGAATCAAGTGCAAGAGGTGCAACATTTCCCAGAGATGCTGAGAGGGCCCAAATCAGGAGAGAGAGAGAGAGAGGTCAAAGGATCAAAGGAAATAATAGTTACCCAAGAAGGGTATGGATTTGTTTGTGTGCATCTTCTCTAAGTACTTTCTCTTGGAGACTTTATGCCCCAAAGGTGGTTGTGTGATTTGAAGCCACAGATGTGGACCGTTGATGACCGTTGCTTTTTTTGCGATGACTTGGAGCCATCGCCAACCCATTTGGGCGCCTGGAGCATCGTCGGCGCCTGTCTTTACAAGAACAAATAATTCTTTTTGAAGGTTCTTTTCGTGATGCTCGGTGGGGGAGAGGCCCTCATGGAATTTTGGATAGTTTTGGTCACATCCCTAAGCAAAGAGAGGTCACTCACATGCTGAAACGAGTAACAGCCAAGCTGTGCCTAGTGCTGTGCCCCTTTCCCAGCGCTGGCACTGGGCTAGATGACATGAGTTGCTCATGGCTACTCTGCGGGGGTCCCTTGGGGCGAGGATATCAGCGAGCATCAGCGGCAAATGGATGAAGAGCGATATGAAGAGAAGCTCATGATGAGAAGTCAGTCCGAGGCCTACGGCCTTTATTTTGTACCGCTTCTTCTTTTGAGTCGTAAAACCAGCTCTCAAAAAAGAGTTGACCTTCGAGGCTACAGAGGCGTGTTTTTGGGTTTGGAGGGAGGGGGAGAAGCAGAGACTAGATGTTTTTGGAGTGATGGGGGGGCTAGTGAGCATACGCAAACACTGCATGTATGGCATATTTCTGCTCAAAAGGATAGCCGGTATTTACTTTATGCATCTTGATGCTGGGTGCACATGCTTTTTTTCCGGTGCTCGTGTGATGCGGGGAGGATTCTGACTGGAGGAAGTTGAGAGGTTGGCAAACGGATGACTGGGATGACCATCATTCTGCAGTGTGACAGCAATGACCCGTTGAACTAGACCATGCATATGGCATATATATCATGATATACAGTGATAGTTTTAATTACACCATTTCTTAATGGGCATTCCCCCCGTGGTGCCGAACCAGCTCCCAAACACTCCATGGGACTGAAATTATTCGCTTGGGCGGGCGGTTGATGCCACGTTCTCGTTTCAAGCGAGCGAAAGCAACTGCAGGCGCGCATTAAGCTCACCGACAAAGAGGAAGACAACGAAGATGATGAGACTTGGAACGGTACGGGAATCGTTGGACTGCCAGCAGTCACAGGGGCTTTTCAGAGGAACCGAATGAATGTAGACTGAGTAATGAGATGTACGCCCTCTAGGAGGTTAGGAGACGTACACTCCCTGGAAGAATCGTGGAAGTGAATGGCCCAAAGTCGAATTTTCGGATGACCCTGAAATGAAATGAGAGGCAAGGCGTGTCAAGTGGACTGCCCCATGCGGACGTTGTCGAGTTGTTTTTGGCTCAGGACGACTTCGATGAGGAGATGGACGAGGACGTCTTCAGCCGAAAGCAGGCATGACTGGGCACCCTGGCACGTCGACCATCTGTGAGCGGCTTGAAGACGCAGACAGTCACATTGGAGTGGCCTGTGGAGTTTGTTTGGATGGAAGCACCACCAGTCTTGGACCTCGAGAAGTACAGTTGATTGGGAGACCGTGAAACCCCATCGAAGATTTGCCCGGTAGTGCCCCCATGTATCCCCATGTATTGCACTAAGAGTCAGCAAGAAGGCCGCCTATGGCATGGCCGGGTGGACCTATGGTGGACCTATAGCGAAGCCATCTCATTCAATCCACTTGTCACTGGGTGCTGACACATGCTTGGTGAAAGCAGCTCCTACGTTAAACAGGCCATTCAGAACAGTGAGCAGATCTTGGAAAAGAACCAGACCAAGAATCGCCTCAAGGCGGGTGCGGATGATCGGGATCGGGATGGATCGGGTGACTGCCTGCGGATGGATCAGGTTCCAAGAACGTCGCAGAGAAATTGATCGGATGGGTCAAGACGTAGTGGGTTTCCAAGAAATCGATCATGCAAAAGAACATCGTTGTTGGTGTGTCTTGTAGTAGTTGCTGTGGAGAGCCTCACCAAGCACCAAACATTGGCTAATCTCATGAAGAGGGCGATGGGAGGGAGAAAAAGTCAAACACCTTGGATTCATGCGCCCCATGCGCCAGGGCAAGGGGAAGAAGAAGGACAGCAGAGTGGCGACGAATGCGGGGGCATGTTCGTCGTAATTCGAAGAGCTAACTCGATTCTTACAGTCCAGAATGTTGCAGAACACATGCAAGTTTGGCGACATGTGTTCAGTGATGTTCAGTGGATCGTAGAGGCTAAGAGTCGCAGTGCAACACAATCGAACCAATACTGTTTGAAGATCTCATCATATCAGCAACCTTTGGAGGACACCACGGGCCGCACAGACATGGAAAGATGAATACCGAAGCACTATGCATGACCCATCAGCATTGAGGAATGGTGCCAACATGTCTGGCAGCACGGAGTGTTTTTCATGGCTCACTAAATCGATTTGGAGATTACGACGGTCAATGAAGGGTATGGGTATGTATGTGGTATTATTCAAAAACTAAACATGTCTCAACTCTTCAAACCCGCTCTCACCCCATTCCCTGCGTCCTCAGCATCAGCAGCTCCAGACGCTGCAAGGTCCGCAAGACAAGTGATGCATCCTGGGTTCGGATCGCCGTTAAGGTTCGCATTTGCACAAGTCTCTACCAATCACAACAACCCAACTCTTGTTTGACTGATGGTCTTGTGCAAAACGTTCAGTCCCTTTGACCCTTCTGGGCGGTCAAGAAGTCCTGCCATCACGGTCTGTCCAGCAATCCAGACCACGTTAGGAGACATGACGAGGCCCCAGTGAGAGCTGTGTACAGACTTGTAGGGACATGTAGGTTTTTCAGTGGCGGGGTCGCTCCGGAATGGGCTTGGCACATGGAATTAAGCAGGAATTGATGCAGTGCAGATGGGCTGGAATTCTTACACTCCCAAACTTGTCATGGAAGCGGAAGACCACCTGTTTGTAGAGGATAATGGTCATCCAAGGGCCATTTTCCACTTCATGACCATTTCAGGGAGTTTATGTCACAGACTGGTCTGACCTTGGGATGAACCTGCCGTGTCTTGAGCCAACCTGGGCCGAGCTTTGCGAAAGCACGCGTCGCGTTGCTTTCATTCCATGGGCTGCACGTGTTTCTACAGTGGGCAACTGGTTTCACGTAGGTTGCTAGACCCAGCACTCAAAAATCTCAAAGACTTGACTGAATTCCGTGCGTCGCAAGCCATTTCCGATCCATCTTCGCCAAATTGCGTGGAGCCACATCTTGAAAGGATATGGCTCCAAGGCTGGAATACCAGCGGTTCTTGCCGATTTCAGTGTCTCACCGGTTTCTTGCAATGCTCACCCCAAACGCGTTTGAGCAGGGGTGTCAGAGCCGTTCCCATGCTTTGCCAAAGCTCCGCTTTGGCGAACCGAATTGTGTCACGTGTCACCCCACGACCATCCCTTCCACCGATCCCGTCATGTTGCCCTTTCTTGGCATGGGAGACCTTGGGAACGACATGACAAAGAGTTTCAGAAGTGCTTAATTTTTGGCATGCCTGAGGCATAGGGGTAATGACCTTAGTGGTTGAGGTAGTCCACCATGTCACAGTGGTTCAGGCGATTTGGAGTCTTTCTCACACCTAAGTGCCCAGGCATCAGTAGAAGATTGAATCACCCAGAGGGGAATTGGGAAAGGCCTCGGTTGCCGTCAAAAGCACGAAACGCCCGAGCTCGGGGTTTGCGGAGTAGGCGGAATTCGGAGGATCGGGTGCAACGTAGGCCGTAGGCCGTATACAACCTTTGGAAGTCACAAGGCGGAGGTGAGGATCACCCAAACCAAGTTGGTATCATCGCTTTGCCAGATTCACGAGTTATGACAATGACAATATCATATCCAGCGATAAATAACATGTCAAGGTTCCATGGATCTTCTTCAGACCTACAGAACCATACTACGAACGATGTCTCAGAAAGCTTGGGTGCCGAAGTCGGGTGAAATTTGGGGTGTGTATATAGTATAGTAACAATTATATAGCTACTATAGTAACAAAGGACATCGCTACTAGGAGCACAGACGCTACTAGTAGCTCCTGGCTACTAGGAGCACATAGCTACTAGTAACATTGGGTGGTTTTTGGCGCTGCCCCTGTGAAATCTCCACGCCAGGCCTTGCAGATTTCGACCTATAGCCGCCTGGACATGTGAATTGGTCCCCGCTAAAAGCCGGGGCATTCCAACCACAATCGGCCTCCCTGAAGAATCGGAAGGCTTCGAGATTGTATCCCGTCCAGTCCGAGTCGATCTAGACATGACCCAGACACGACTAATGGGACTGCCATAAAGGCTTAATTGAACCCCAAAAGCACCCCAATGTAGGCAAAAATGGCAGTCCCATGGAGTGTCTTGGGTGAATAGACAATATATGGTTTTTGGATGTTTTAGGGTCAAGGTTTGTCCAGGTTTTGACCAATGGCGACAGGCTATGCTTGCCTGTGGTTTGGAACATGTTGATGTGGTTCAGGAGCTCATGTTCCATACCTGATGGTGCATGTCCTGCCATGCGTTCCACGATGCAGAATGCTCACAGCATCCCAGGTATTTCCATGACAACCCTCGAAGAGGTTTTCATGGCTTTGGGCGAGCAGGCTGGCGCGAGGAGATGCAAGAAACATCAGGAAACAGTGGGTTGAATTGTTTCCCTAGCTTTGCTTCTATCCCCTACCGTCGCGGAATTGTGCATCTCCATGAGCAGGGGCTTTCTTATTCCCGTCGAAGCCTTGCAGCTTTAGAACCCGACTCATGTCACTCACGTGGGCCCATTCCGCGCAGCGCATGTGCCTCTTTTTTTTTGGTGTGAGGCGGAGAGGGAGGTGGCCAACTCGGGACGCAGAGTCAGCCTGGTGCTCAGCCGTCCTTTCTTCAATGTAGCAGGCTTCTTGACCTACAAGTATAAAGTATATAGCTCAGTAGCTCATGTTAAACCTAACTTGAACGTGCCAGGCGCCGGCAGTTGTTCAAACTTTCTTCTATATATAACAAGGTTTCTAACTTCATTCATTCTGCCCCACGGCGAACCTGGGTCCCAGGCGAGAATACCGATTTCCGGGAGGTGGACGCTGAAAGCGAGGAGGCATGCCTCAGATGAAGTGGGGCATGGGTGGCTACTCACGAGCCCTGAATGGGAAATCTGTACACCACCTAATTACCCCAGAAGTGGTTCAAGGGAACATTTGCAGACCCATACTTTCGTGTTTGAAAATCATGGTTTCCCGTCATCCATTGACCCCAGGCCCGCGCCGACTCGAAATGAACTGATTCAGCACTCAACTGCGGTGAAGGGATTATCGACGTGTGTTGGCTACTGGACTGTCCCTGCAATGGCACTCCCCTACCAAGAAGGTGTTGAAAACCCCAAAGTGGATGTGTTAGTTCGTCCAAACTAACCGTACGCCCTCACTTCTATGGCTCTCTCTCGCTCTCTCTAATTCAAGGTTTATGTTTCTCCACGCACCCTGGGAGCTTACTTACTACCTCCGTGATTAGTTACCAGACTTACAAAATTTGACAATATACTGTATGTTACTAAGTTAAATCTGCGATATAACTCAATATTTATATATGTATTATATATATATATATATTTATACACATCATACCATCATCCACCCATCGCACGCACTCCCAGGTGGTGCGGCCTGAGGCCGACGAGCGCCGCTCAGCGAAGGCCATCATGCGCGTGAGGCCGCTACGATGGCATGGGGTGAGTAGATCGGAGTGGAATCGGAG